TGAGGAATGGAGATAGATGGATTCCTAGCCCTGTTTAAGCACCTGGATCTAGCCATGCCTGAAGCTATTTTCCATAGACTTTTTGGTTATTTGAAACAGTAAATTCACTTTTTTCTATATTTTTTTTTTGCTGAAGCCAAGCTAATTGGGTTTTTGTCATTTGTAACTAAGGCCCCTACACTCAGATTCACAGTTACTTGTGAGGCTTGATAAGATATAAATATCATTGTCCTTTTTTCCTCTCCTTAATTCTCTCAGCTTTCAGAGATCATTGCTTAACCTAATCCAGAGCCTCCCACACAGTGAGCCGTGACAATTTGTTCAATGATGAAGTTGAGAAGAATAGTTTTAGGAAGGGAGGGAAATGAGTATAATAAAGAAATTTTACTAAAGGCAAAAGTATTTGTCACTAAGGTGTGACCACATCAGTGAGCATCACTGAGCACACAGCAAGCCGGTCCTGAGAAAGGTAATGTTTTTCAGTCATGGTTGAAAGCCTCCCCGCCCCTAACTTATGTGGTTATAATTGGATCTGAGGCGTGAGGTACTTCTAGTTGTCCAGCCAAGGATCTACCTTACACCTTGTGGTGTGGAGACACACTGCAGCCAGGACGCAGGTTACCATCAGTGCTGGTGTCACCCTTCCAGGACAAAGAAAGATCAGGGACAGACAGGCCAGTGCATCCCTAACCCGGGCCCCAGGACAGACGCCAGGAGCCTGCTATCTGTCTGGGAGGCTCTACTCGTGGATGATGGGTTGAAACACTATGTGGGATCAGGCTTCTATGGGTTTTCATGAAGTGTCATGAGGTTACCCATTGGATGAAAGCACCCTCTTAGTGAAATAGGTTTTTTGTTTCTTTTTTTTTTTTAACCTAAACGCAGGAGTTGAGCTGAGGTTTTTTGTTTGTTTGTTTGTTTATTTGTTTTTCTGGGCCCATAATTCTATAATTCCCTCAGACATGCCTGTAAAAAACCTACGGGGTGTGTGAGGCAAATAAGTAATTCTCCGGGCTGTAAAACCCACAGAAACAGCCTGTGCAGTGCAGACAATGGGTGAAAGGAGCAGAGAAGACCTCAAAAGACCAGCTTTATAAATTCAAAACATTTCTACTGTCCAGGCTCCCAACAGGCTGTACCCATCACGGAAGAAACCTCCCAAGGGTTCCCTTCGCTTCTCCTGGAAGCGCACCACCCCAGACCAGCCCTACCCGTGAGCTCCATCCCGAGAACCATGCCTCAGCCTCCCTGAGTCGCAGCCACTGTTGGGCACGTGGTCACCTTCTCTCAGGCGCCAAGTGAGCTGGCGCCCATTCTGAAGGCAGTACAGAGCCAGAGCCGAGTCAGTGGCTCCTCACTATGTCAGCTCCTGAGTGCATGGGAATATGTGCTGAATCCTCCAGAACCCAGCCCACATGGAGGCTGTGAGGAAGAGCACTGGACAAAGGCTCAGAAAGGCCTGGGATCTGGTCTCCCTCTGACACTTACTAGCTAGTGAATTTCCCCAGAACACTGTGTGGTGAAGGGACTTTGCCTGTCTCCTTCAGAGCTCTGTCCCCAACACCCAGGGCAGGCCTGCACGTGGAAGACATCGGTAAGTATGTGTTGCTGTCCACAAGTATCAGTGTCTTCATCTATGACTTGTGGGGCAGGAAAGAAGATCCAAGCACCCCAACATGCTGAGTGCTCACCGAGTAGTCTTATTGCATCCATTCATCCAACCCAGGAGGAAGCTTTATTGTTCCCATTTTGCAGATGAAGAAACTGAGGCTTGGACATTCTCCTCACAGGGCCAGTAATCAAACTCTCAAACCAGGAATCTGAAGCCCTTGTCGGCTCCCCTACACCACACCACCTTGTTCAGTTCTCAGTGCTCCTAGGGACGCGAATCCACCTACCCCCGAGCTGTAGCCCCTGCACTGAGCACAACAGCGGTGGAGCTTGGCTGCAGCAAGCCACTACCTCCCCGACAGTCCCCAGCTGTGGGCCGAGCTCGCCCACCTCAGAAAGGGTGGCAGCCCGCCACGCAGGAAATACTCACGGCTCCCGCGGGCCCAGGCGGCTCCTCCGAACGCATCCTCTCCCAGGGCTCCGGCCTCCTCGACAGCAGCCCAAAGCAGGGCTGGGCCGCCGCCTCTCTCTGGAGCATCAGATTATTTTAGCACTTGCGGAAGGAACTGACGGAAACTGAAGTCACATGGAGAGCGAGCTGCTCTGCAACTCAGCACTCACAGCGATCAGGCACCAGAGAAGGAACTGCCCCATCGGGTGGGTGGCGAGGGGGGAAGGGAGAGGGCAGCCGCGGGAACAGCGGCCCCAGGACTACCCGCTGGGTTAGTGGACAAGGAGGGCAGGCATTTTTACGGCCCCCCAGCAGTGCTAACCAAGGCTCCCCGGGCTTTCTTGCCTTAGAGATTTTGAGCTGGAGGGCCCCTGTCTGTGAGCTCTGCTGACTCAAAAAACTCCCCTCCGAGGGTCAAGCTAGGGCAGACTTTGGAAATGGGTCGGACACAGGTTTTCCACTTGGGAGAAAGTCCACCTCCTGGAAGAGCCATCTAATCAGCTGATCTTTATTAATAATCTCCTTTTATGTGTCCAGCACATCAAAAACAGAAAAAGAAATGGACACTGCTTTGTAGCGGACTGTCAGAGTGCCATGAGCTTATTGATCATAGACTGTCTGGATAAAATTTTGTACCTGATGTGTACAAAATTCCCTGCTAGCTCTTGCCAAGAATTTTTTTTAATCGAATTAATAATAGCTACCATCAAAAAGCTGTTAGGCACTATGCTAAGAAATTTATTTGCATGATCTCATAGCTTCTATACTCCAGGACCTAACAATCTAGTGGAGAAGGTAAAATGTGGACGGTCAGCCGCATGCTGAATGAGCGATGCGGACAAGCGTTCTAGGAGCGTCAGAGAAGGGATCTCCGGTGCTGCTCTTTCCCATCAGATCTGGGGGGTCCAAGTGTCCGGAGGTTTGGTTTGCGCCTCTTGTTGCCTGTTGACTTGTGATTCTTTATTGCATTATTGCCCTGGGCATGGCCATCCTGGGAGAATAGGAGCAGGTCCTTCCTGCCCCAAACATCCAGCACATTGTCTACTCTATCCCCTCCTTATCACAAGCAATCCCACTTTTGCATGTTGTATACATTGAGGTTCTCCATAGAATTTCTTTTGAGAAAGGTGGCTGCTACCCTTAACAAAAAAAAAAGCTTAGGAAACCAGTTATCTTGATGAATGTGTGGGGAGAAGCCAGTTTGTTGGCGCAGAGCACAGCAGCTCGCCTGCTAGCAGCAAGCTGGCTCGGCAGGGAGGACCTAAGACTTGCAGCCAAAACCAATGTTGATTTACAACTGCAAACAGAACGGTTCTCATGCCAGCGAGGCTGTAACCCTGACCGCACAGTTCAGGGTTTTCCAGCTTGGTTGGGTGCTGTGCTTCTCCACCCGACCATGCTGCTCAAGGCCGAAGAGATGAGGGCACTTCCTCTGGAGCATAACCCACGGTGCACACTGGCAAAGCACATCTGTCCCTCTTTTTTCGAGCTTGCTCCATGTATTGGGAAATTTGTACACGTCCCCTGCTCAAGCCAAGTTTAGTGCAAGCAGTGCACCAGGATCTCAGAGGAGATCTGAGGTGAAAGTAAAATTCTGTTTCTTCGTTACTAACGTTGTGGCCCCACCCCATAACAAAGAAACAGAATTCCCGGAGGACGAGGCCCAGAAATCAGGATTTTAAAAAGATTCCCAGGTGATTCTAATGTGCAGCCAAGGTTGAGAACCACTGCAAACGCAGCACAAACGCTCCCCACTCTGCACTTCCTCTGTCAAAGGGTTCCCTCAGAGGGTTCCCTTGCTTGAAGTGGCCTATTTTCTGCCTACCACAACCCTTCCCATCTGAAGGCATGGCTTGGGCTCCCTCACCTCTGCAAAGCCTCTACTTCTTCCTCTGAACACATAGCAGCAGGTGTCTACAATATCCCCTGGCTTCAGGACATCTCTCTCTCTTTTATAACATGATATATTTTTAAAAATATATATATATATATTTTTGTTGATTTGAGAGAGAGAGCAAGGGAAGGGGAGAGAGAGAGAGAGAGAGAAACATTGATGAGCTGCCTCCTTGCCCCCTACTGGGGATCAAGCCCCCAACCCAGGCATGTGTCCTGACCAGCAATCAAAGCAGCACCCTTGCAATTCGTGGGATGATGCTCAACCAATTGAGCCATTCCAGCCAGGACTTCATGACATCTCTTGTATATGTGATTTAACTTTTAGGATTTTTGTCGGGTTTCTCCAATTACACTAAAACCCTCTGAGGGGAGGGGTCAAGTGTTATTCCAACAAGTATACTGCCCAGTGCACATAAAAGGGCTCAGTCAAGGAAGGAAGGAGGGAGGAGAAGGAAAGAAGAGAGGAAGGCAGCAAACCTACCTTGTCCATGATTCTTTAAGTATTGCCTGAGATGTTTTTGTTTGTTTGTTTCTAAACTAAGCTTTACAGTAGTTTGTCTCTGGTAGGAGGCCTCAGTCTCCCAAAGAGATCAAAGGGACTTGGGCTTCTGTCTCTCCTCCCACTACTTTTTCAGATGATAAGCAAACACTATTCAGGGCTGAGGGGTAAGGAGGCCGACAGCAGAGACAGTGAAGGGAGACATTTCAAGTTGTGGGGGAGGTAGTATGCAAAGGCTCCGAAAGGAGAAATGAGGGGGAGATAGGGAGGGGCACTTTACTTCCTCTAGATGGGTCTGTGAGAGAAGATACAGTGTCAGTGTAAGAAATGTCCAAATGTTACGGGAAAGGCACTTGGCCCTGAGGGGGTCTGCCTAGGGCCAGCCACGGTTTACTGGATTGTCTCACAAATCTGCAGGGAATTTTTATTTATTTGAGCCAAACTGATGACAATTATCAGGAAGCAAAAATCTCAACAGACTGAGAAAATGTTCCAGAGAATAACAGTTTTACAGCTTATTTTATACATTGGAATCGTTGATGGTAGATTAAGGGGGTGGGAGAAAGCAAATCAGGAAAATCTCTGAGACTGAATAAAGAGTAAAACAGAGACACGTTTTACTTTTATATTGGTGGGTACAGGATCGTTAACGGCGAATATTTACAGCACATAGAGGATATTCAGGGAACAATGAGGAGTTCTGTGGTCTCCTGCTCTGGGGCGAGGTTGTACTCTGAGGAGTCCAGAAAAAGGGGATTACTCTGACATTTCAAAGGTTTGTTATCTTAGATGCTAAAGACAATAGACAGGTTCAGTTAAGGTAAAGATTAAGCTTTGTCAAGGAAGCTACAGGTCTAGGATGTGTCTACCCACCATGACTCATTTTCAGTTGGGAATTTGTATGTTCAGACCATCCTATGTGGTTACTTTAGGTCTCTGAGTTCATAAGCCCACCACGCAGGCCTCCCCTGAGCTTATCAGGTGTAATATATGGCCCCCTTTCTTCCACACTAGAATGGAGTGGCAGGGCCTACTTGTGGAACCTGCAGTTCACTCGAGGTCTAAGTCTTGGTCCTCTCACTGTCACTGTGATGTTCCCTACTCTGCCTTGGGTTCTCCGTTCCTGGCCACAGACAGGGCAGTCCTTCCATCTGGCCCTTCACCTTGGTGGCTGGGGCTGGGCAAGCAGTGAACTAATGCCTTCCCCCCTTCTCCAACCTCAGCACATGTGCTCCTGCTCCCTGTTGCCCAGGCAGCTCACAAAGCTCACCCAGGATGAGCCCATGGCCTCCCCCAGCCGCTAGTTCCAGTGACTGACTCTGTGGGGACACTGCCTCTTCCTTTTCTGTAAACACTGACAGTAATCAACACATGATCAAAGATTCCGTGCTGTGCAAAGATAACAAGATGCTTACAGAAATATCCTGTCAGTGCCAGGGCATGCCGGGCAGTGGGACATCCAGGGGAAGGGGCACATACAACTAACCATGGTTCAGTTCAGGGAGAAATGGAAGAGAATCATGGAAAAACAGGAACGAGGTGCTGGGAGAGTCCTGGAAGAAGAATGCACAACTGGTGGGAGACTTGGAGGAGAGCTTTTCCGAAGAGGTGGCATCTGATATCGATCTTCAGAGTTGGGGCTGGGCGTGGGGTTGATGACTGAAGAAGAGATAAGGAAGATGATGAATTGAGAGAAACATTTCAAAGAGAAGAGACTTTAGGAGAGATGATGGCATCTCTTTGTGTCCCCTTAGGACTTAGTTCATGGTTCTGTCCAGGGCACCATTGTTCACAGGTGATAGCTTTGCCTTTCCTTAGCAGCAGTGAGTCTTGGCAAGGAGGGAATATGATTTGTTCACATTTGTTCACATTGCATGTATCCCCAGCGATACCTAGTCTAGCACCTAGTGGGTGCCCAGCAAAGGCTTCTTCAATGAATTAAAGTGTCCTTTGCTCTAGAGCAGTGGTCGGCAAACTGCGGCTCGCAAGCCACATGCGGCTCTTTGGCCCCTTGAGTGTGGCTCTTCCCAAGTCTTAGGAGTACCCTAATTAAGTTAGTAACAATGTACCTATCTATATAGTTTAAGCTTAAAAAATTTGGCTCTCAAAAGAAATTTCAATCGTTGTACTGTTGATATTTGGCTCTGTTGACTAATGAGTTTGCCGACCACTGCTCTAGAGCAGCAGTTCTCAACCTTCCTAATGCTGCGACCCTTTAATACAGTTCCTCATGTTGTGGTGACCCCCAACCATAAAATTATTTTCGTTGCTACTTCATAACTGCAATTTTGATTCTCATATGAATCATAATGTAAATATCTGATATGCAGGATGTATTTTCATTGTTACAAATTGAACATAATTAGCTCATAGTGCTTAATCACAAAAACAATATGTAAGTATATATGTGTTTTCTGATGGTCTTAGGCGACCCCTGTGAAAGGGTCGTTCGACCCCCAAAGGGGTTGGGACCCGCAGGTTGAGAACCGCTGCTCTAGAGCAATTGAAGAGGTTAAGGACTTTGGAAACGTCCACAGACTGGCCACTGAGAAATCCTTTTTCATAACTGACAAATATAAGCACAAATCCTTACCATGAGCTCAAGTGCTCTGCTCCCTCTGATTTCATTCCCTATCACTTTCCTCCTCACTTCATTCAAAGCATGAAGTCCTCATTTAAACAGCAGCTCCTCATTTAAGCTAAGCAGGCTTTTACCATTGGTCTTTTCTAGGCCAAGAACGCTCTCCCAACTCCCAGATATCTAAACAGCTCACTGCCTAACTTCCCTTAGGCCTCTGCTCAAATGCCACCTCCTCAAAGAGATCTTCCCTGACCACACCATCTAAAATAGTGCACACCCCTATTACTTTCTTTTGTCTTACTTTTTCTTCACAATATTTTTATTCACGTCGCTGCATGATATCTTATATTTACTTGCTAACTGTCTGCCTCCCCATCTAAATTGTGTACTCTTAACGGAACGAAATTTGTTTATGCACTGCTATATCCCAGTGCCCAGAGCAGAGCCTGATACATACTGGGCACTTATACATTTATGTGGACTATATGCATTAGTGAATGAATGATCTTAAAAAGAGTAGTTTCAGTAGAGTGGTAGGGTCAGGAGTCAGGTGGTCAGGTGTTGGTTAATTAGTGACCAGGTGTATAGAAGGAAACAGGGAGAAACAACTGCTAGTTCAAGAAATAAGGTCACGAGGTCATCAATATGTGAATATATTTTGTAAAATGTGAAGTACCATGTAAATATATCTATTTTCCCTGGCAGAACAGCTTAGGGGGAGATAAGCAGAAATGAAATCAAGTCCAATAGTGGGGTTAGCCTTGACAAAGTGGCAAACTCTTCGTGTGTGGTAGAAATCAAGGCAATGTGATAGGGAGAGGGAAAGACAGAGCTGAAAGGACTGTTGATCATCCTTGTAATACAACAAGAATGTGTGAGAGACTTGGCCTGCACTCCTGTATGACATTGGGCAGCCAGGCCTCCTAGAGGAGAAAGCCTAAGTCAGTGGTTCTCAACCTATGGGTGGCAACCCCTTTGGGGGTCGAACGACCCTTTCACAGGGATTGCCTAAGACCATCGGAAACACATATATAATTACATGTTGTTTTTGTGATTAATCACTATGTTTTAATTATGTTCAATTTGTAACAATGAAAATACATCCTGCATATCAGATATTTACATTATGATTCATAACAGTAGCAAAATTACAGTTATGAAGTAGCAACGAAAATAATTCTATGGTTGGGGATCACCACAACATGAGGAACTGTATTAAGGGGTCGTGGCGTTAGGAAGGTTGAGAACCACTGGCCTAAGTACATACATCACCCCTCAACAAATCCATTAAGCAGGTACTAATAGTCTCCATTTACAAGAGAGAAAATCAGGCTCTTATTGATCACATGTTTTGCCCAAGACCACACAGTAGAAAGTGTCAATATCAACTTGTTTTTAGTAGCTACAGTTCTGGTTTAAAAGGGTGTTTTTCTCATTATAAACGTATTGCATAGGCACTGAAAGATCTAAAAAGAAGAAAATCAACCACAAACCCACAGTATGGAAACAACTCACTGTTAGCATTGTGGTGTATTGCCTTCCAAACTTTTTCTATACACATGTAATATCTCTCTATATAAAAGCCTAAGCAACCAAATGACCTAACCACCAAATGACTGAACAACTGGTCGACCAGTTGCTATGACATGCACTGACCACCAGGGGACAGGCACTCAATGCAAGAGCTGCCCCCTGGTGGTCAGTGCACTCCCACAGCCAACCTCCCACAGCCCCTCCCCCCAGCTGGCCAGCCCCCCCAATTGGTCCCAATTGCTGGCTGGGACAAGGGACCCTACCCGTGCACGAATTCGTGTACCAGGCCTCTAGTATATTAATACTTAAATATATTTTTATTAATTTCAGAGAGTAAGGGAGAGGGAGAAAGAGATAGGAACATCAATGATAAGAGAGAATCATTGATTGGCTGCCTCCAGTACACCCCACACTGGGGATCAAGCCCGCAACGAGGGCGTATAGCCTGACAAGGAATCAAACTATGACCTCCTGGTTCATAGGTCAACACTCAACCACTGAGCCACAGCGGCTGGCCCATCCTATATGATAAAGAGGCAATATGCAAATTTACCATCACTCCAACGTACAAGATGGTCGCCCCCAAGTGGATACAAGATGGCTGCCACAAATTGGCCATCAGGGGAGGGCAGTTAGGGGTGACCAGGCCTGCAGGGAAGGGCAGTTGGAGGCAACCAGGCCTGCAGGGAAGGGCGGTTGGAGGCAACCAGGCCTGCAGGGGAGGGCAGTTAGGGGCAATCAGGCAGGTGAGCAGTGGGAGCCATCAGTCCTGGATTGTGAGAGGGATGTCCGACTGTCCGTTTAGGCCCGATATCACTGGGATTGGGCCTAAACAGGTAGTTGGACATTCCTCAAGGGGTCCCAGATTGAAGAGGTTGCAGGCATATATTTTTAAATAAAGTGGAGATTAGATCCCATATGCTCTTTTGTAAGTTTACATACATAATTTATAACAATAATTTGAATTGTTTTTCTATGTCAAATTTTCTTGGACATGCTTTTTTAAAAAATATATATTTTTATTGATTTCAGAGAGGAAGGAGAGGAAGAGAGATAAAAACATCAATGATGAGAGAGAATCATTGATTGGCTGCCTCCTGCACATTGGACTGAGCCTGCAACCCAGACATGTGCCCTTGACCGGAATCAAACCTGGGACTCTTCATTCTGCAGACTGAGCCAAACCAGCCAGGACATGGACATGCTTTTGATTAGTTTCATATTATTCTGTCCCTTGGATGTCTATAGTTAGTTTTCCTGTCCTCTTTTGTGTGGCATTGTAGTACAAGTCCAAAATTCCTTACTCTAAAATTTTTGGGCCAGAAGTGTTTCAAAAATCACAATTTTTCATAGTTTAAAAGGCAACATACCCCAACCGATGTGGCTCAGTGGTTGAGCATCAACCTATGAACCAGGAGGTCATGGTTCAAATCCTGGGCAGTGCACATGCCCAGGTTGTGGACTCGATCTCCAGTTTGGGGCATGCAGGTGACATCTGAGCCAAGATTCTCTCTCATCATTGATGTTTCTATCTCTCTCTTCCTCTCCCTTCCTCTCTAAAATTAACAACAAATATAAATATAAATATATATATATATATTTTGAAGGCAATATAGTACATATGCCATATTACATAATTCCTCCAATGAAATCTAGAACCACACCCCAAAATCAACACATAAATATTTTGACAACAAACATGAATATTCACATTAAACGGGTAAAAGGAAAAGTGGACAAAATAGGCTTTTGTCAGTTCAGGTCAGGTTTTGTAACCAAATGAGTTTATGCCAAACTCATCAAAAATACCTTCGTTTTTTGTGTGTCTTTTTTAAAAATATTTTTTTATTAATTTCAGAGAGGATGGAAGAGGGAGAGAGAGATAGAAACATCAATGATGAGAAAGAATCATTGATCGGCTGCCTCCTGCATGCTCCCCACTGGGGACCAAGCCCGCAAACTGGGCATGTGCCCTTGACCAGAATCGAATCTGGGACCTTTTGGTCCGCAGGTTGACGTTCTACCCACTGAGCCAAACTAGTTTTCCTGTCCTCTTTTGTGTGGCATTGTAGTACAAGTCCAAAATTCCTTACTCTAAAATTTTTGGGCCAGAAGTGTTTCAAAAATCACAATTTTTCATAGTTTAAAAGGCAACATACCCCAACCGATGTGGCTCAGTGGTTGAGCATCAACCTATGAACCAGGAGGTCATGGTTCAAATCCTGGGCAGTGCACATGCCCAGGTTGTGGACTCGATCTCCAGTTTGGGGCATGCAGGTGACATCTGATCCAAGATTCTCTCTCATCATTGATGTTTCTCTCTCTCTCCCCCTCTATCTTCCTCTCTGAAATCAATAAATATATTTATATATAAGATTTTTTTTATTGTTGAAAGTATCACATAAGCGCCCTTCCCCCCTCGGACCCCTTCTGGCCGCCCCACCAGCCGCTCTCATTTCCCGGTTCCCTGTCTCCCAGGTTCTGAC